ATACAAATGTAGCAAATAAATAATTAAATAGTAGGCTTGGGTAACCACGGAAAAATTTGGTTCTAAACTCGTTTCGTTTTTAGGGGGGCCCTTGCGTTTCGTTTTTTTAAAGAATTCCGAAATTTTCCTTTAAAAAAGTTCAAAATATACGAAATTTCGTAAAATTACGAATCGATTTGTTAATGGCGGACGCGATTGCGCAATATGCTAAAAAACCCTCCAAATGGGACAGGGGGAACTTCTGAAGCTTCCCTCTCCCTCTGTTGTTGACTGTTGGTGTGATAATTTATTTTTTATCACTGATAAAAAAAAACAACTATAAAACTTGCACCAGACATATGGAAATAATTACGAAACAATTTCAAAACAATTTCGAAACAATTTTGAACCAATTACGAAACAATACGAAATAAATTGGAAAAATTGTTTTGATTTTTAATTACTCCTCACAGTAGTCCTGCATGGCTCAATATTGGATCGTAAGCTAATTTAAATACGAATTAATAACGAATTACGAAATTAACGAACGAAACCGCCCAAGCCTACTAAATAGCCAGTGATTGTATTTCATCTTATTTATTTATTTATTTCACGCATTTCTACCCCGCCCTTCTCAACCCCAGAGCGGCTTACAAAAGGCACAATTCAATGCCAACAATACAGATAATAAGATAAAACATATATCAGCAACAATTAAAAACAATTAAAAACAATCCAGTTATACACCATAACTAATAAAAAGCTATGTAATGATCAATGTTCGCCAAGCTCAAAGTCCATAAGTTCATTCCGCATTGTCATAATCCTATCCAATTCTAGTCGTCAATGTCCTTGGTCTGTCTGCCAGATTACGCAAAGGCCTGGTCCCATATCCATGTTTTTAGTTTCCTTCTAAAAGAGAGGAGGGATGTGGATGACCTAATTTCCCCAGGAAGTGAATTCCACAGGCAAGGGGCCACCACCGAGAAGGCCTGCTCCTTGTCCCCACCAATCTCACTTGTGATAGAGATGGGGCCAAGAGCAGGGCCTCCCCAGAGGATCTTAAACTCTTGATGTTCCTCAAAGGATTGTTGTGAATATTAGATGGGGTAAAGGAGATCCATGGACTCTCCTACAATCCCGTTGGTGGAAAGATAACACATCAGTATAACTAATAAATGTGACACACATGTTATCTTTCCACCAACAGGATTGTAGGAGAGTCCATGGATCTCCTTTACCCCATCTAATCTTCACAACAATGTGTGTGTTATTATGAATGCTGCTGCTGTCACAGTCTGGATAATTAGAGGGGATGGATTATGAGGACCTCATGGCTTGCCAACACAAGTTCCTTCCCTCCCACGCCACTTTTGTTTGCTATAGATTATTAGCTGTTAAGACTACTTACCTTGAAGTGGGAACAGCTTAGCAAAAGCTCAGAGATTTATCCTCCTAATCTCTTTGGAAAGACTAACGAGTACATTAGATCTCCTGGCAAAAAACAAAACAAACCCTAATTTGTTGACAAAATAAAACAGGACTCTGCAAACATTGGCCTGTTTCATTCCGGGGATGGCAACTATTTGTGTAAAATGTGTCTATGGAGAAAAAAAAGGGTCTCCAAGGGAAAGAAAAGGTGATGGAGTGGTTTTTGCAAATGCTCGAAGCGTCTTTGAGGGTTATTGATGGCAATAATTAACCCAGGAAGACCAACTCTTGTCTTTCCAGTATCTTCCAAGCCCTGGTTTGTTATCTCTTTCCAGGGCCTGTTCAGGATGTGCTCTTGCCAATACAGGGGCCAGAAGAAAGATAACTTCAACAGATCTTAAACATTCCCACTCTCCAAAAATTCTATGCTGAGAGGCCGGGAAGATAAGGGAGACTTGCAGGCCTTGTTTGTTTATTTTGCCGACCTTGGGTCCCAAGCAGGAAGCAAGAATGCTCAAACCAAAGTTGAATCCAAAGCTTGAAGACATCACTCACCGTTGAGTAAAATAGGGCCTCTGTAGACAATTATCTGTCATTAAAGTTCATTAAATGAATGAAGAGCTCCAAGTTGACCTTACGTGATAGGACACACAGCTTTCAAAAGAAGATCTCTTCCATCTTTTCAGGACAGGGGCGTAGAGGTTTTTGACTGATTTTTTGAAATTGGTGTTGATTTGAGGAAATTGCCTTCCCATTTGATAACATCTTATGTTGAAGTTTTTGAACTCTTAACCTCTGGCAGTCAGAACACATCTTTTCTCCTTTTAACATATATATATATTAACTTGGATTATTAAAATGGGGCAAACACCAGAAACCCTTTCATGATGCAATTTCTTAACTTAGTTCAGTGTTTCTCAATCTTCCTAATGCCGCGATCCCTTAGCACAGTTCCACATGTTGCGGTGACCCCCAACCATAAAATTATTTTCGTTGCTACTTCATAATTGTAACTTTGCTACCATTATGAATTGTAATGTAAATATATGCAGGGTATATTTTCTTTCACTGGACCAAATTTGGCACAAAAACCCGATTCACCCAAATTTGAATACTGGTGGGTTTGGGAGTGTGTGTGTGTGTGATTTTGTCATTTGGGAGTTGTAGTTTTTGGGATTTATAGTTCACCTACAATCAAAGAACATTCTGAACTCCACCAATGATGGAATTGAACCAAACTTGGCACACAGGACTCACATGACCAACAGAAAATACTGGAAGGGTTTGTTGGGCATTGACCTTGAGTTTGGAAGTTATAGTTTACATAGAAATAGGGTATATGATAGTATGGACCGTGATAACTTTAGTTTTCAGTGATATATCTTTGCACTTTAAAATCATTGGGTAGCAGCATCCTCAGCCAGTAGAAGCTAGGAAATGTTTGGAGGAGAAACTGTGATTGTTGAGCTAAAATGGAACTGGTAGCCCATTCTACCTCTGTCCATGAAAGTATGGGGTATCCCAGGACACAAAACGTCTTGGATTATGTGATGGCACACCCGAGCCTTTGAGAAAATGATAGTGTCTGGTTTTACTCAGGGGCTATCTATATACCTTCTGTTAAGACCCTTAGCGAACAGAGGCATTTTGGGCAAGGTGAAAAGATAACCAAAATGAGTTTACTGCAAACAAGATGAATAAAGGGTTAACTCCACCTGGGACTATCATAAGATAACTTAAAACAATACATTACAAAAGGAGGCTTTACTGGCTGCAGTCATCTCTCTGGAGTCTTCTTCCTCTGGTGCAAAGCAATGATTATAAACTGTCCCAATCTTTCTTCTTTTGAAGCATAAGCTGGTCATAAGCTTCTGTTGTCCTTTGGACTGGTGGGATAAAAATACTCCTGAATGCAGGTGCTAAGGATACCTGTTTCTGGATTGCTTGAGCCTAGGATACCAGATAATGCCCCAAGCCTCTAGTGATTGTAGAAAAAAGGGAGGAGTCCAGCAAGAGAGCTCTATACAGGCAAATGGAATAGACCAACTAAGGCTGGCCTCTTGGGGGTGTTATGTGCCACCCAAAAACTAATATAAAGGAAGGTATCATCTACACTATTGGGGAAACCTATAAACAGGGGGAACTGAAGCAAAGGAGAGAAAAAGGCAGAGCTAAGACTTCACAGATTATCATTGCAAGATGAGAGCTGTAATTTTGAACAGATATGGCTCCTTACAGGGAGCGGTCAACCCTCCTGTTCAAGGAGCTCCACTGGCTGCCATTCATTCTCCGGACCCAATTCCAGGTGCATGTTCTTACCTACAAAGCCCTGAACGGTTTGGGACCCGCCTACCTTCGTGACCGCATCTCTGTATACGGACCCACGCGATCTCTTCAATCATCTGGAGAGGCCCTGCTCACGCTCCCACCTGCATCGCAAGCGCAATTGGTGGGGATGAGAGAGAGGGCCTTTTCGTTGGTGGCCCCTCAGCTCTGGAACTCACTCCCTAAGGACATCAGGCATGCCCCAACTTTGGCAGTCTTTAAGAGGAGCTTGAAGACATGGTTGTTCCAGTGTGCCTTCCCAGAATAATGATCCCATAGCACTTTGTCCTCCAAAGCACTTTATATTGTTTTAGGTCTGCTTGTATATATTCCCACAAACCGCCCCATCACTTTTTCGCCAAGGTCCAGCATTATTTTTTAATCTTTTAAATTTAATTACATTTGGCCTACCCATAGATTTTAAAGTGTGTTGTCCTATTGATAATGCTTATGTTATTGTTTTATTGTTTTGTTGTTTTTAAATTGCTTGTATTATTATTGTTATTGTTGTATTGTGGGCTCGGCCTCATGTAAGCCGCACCGAGTCCCTTGGGGAGATGGTAGCGGGGTATAAATAAAGTATTATTATTATTATTATTATTATTATTATTATTATTATATGTCAGCATTTTCCATGCCCACAGTATTTCTCAATGTTAATGCTGTTGAACAATTTGTGTTTTTTTTTAACCTGGTGTGTGATGGGAAAATAAGAAACTTCAAAACAAGAAAGAACAAGAAACTTCAAAATAATCCCAACTTTCTATATTATAGATAATCCCAACCTGTCTCAGAAGCAACTCATGAAAAGAGCCCCCCCCCCCAAGTAAAAAAGCAAAATGCATTATTTACAAAGGTTTTTGGAAGGTAGTTGTAGAAATAAGCAAATTATATACATAATTTCTATAATTTCTAATAATAGTCTAGCCAATCGGGTAAAAGGAAAAGAGTACTGTGAAAATGAGAGCTGGAATGGCCAGTCTGTCATGTTACTTAAGGCAATGAAGCTTTAAGGTATTACTTACACTCCATGTTCTTTGATTAAATACCAAATAGATGGTGGCCATTTTTGACCATCATTTACTGTATTGATCTGGAAAGCAGTAGAACTGTAATAAAAAGGGCCATTGATTTGCTGTCCCTATTTGCTTAGGGGCTTTTTAATTAATTTTATGCTTTGTTTCCTCTTTTTGTTTTATTATGTTTATGGTCTTTTCTCTTCTACCCCTCCCCTCTCCCGTCTACCTTCCTGCCCTCCTCCCAAGACAAGTCTCCTGCTCTGCGAATTCCGAAAAGAAGAACAGATGGAGGAACAAAGAAAGGAACAAATCGGTTGCCTCTTGCCCCTCCTTATAGAACGTCAGGAGCTGCGCCAGGAATGGCTCACAAGGTGAGAATGTGATGAAAACAAAAAAAATTAAAAGGTCCATCTTTCCATATTTTTTTATAAAGATCTTGAAAACGTTAACGTTTGATTATGACTCTCCAAATTGCCTACTACCTTGGCTGGAAGATTCTGAGAATCCTAGTTCTATATACAGTAGAGTCTCACTTATCCAACCTTCACTCATCCAACGTTCTGTATTATCCAATGCAATGCCTCCCACCTGGATCCACAGCTATTTCAATACACTGCAATGTTTTGGTGCTAAATTCGTAAATACAGTAATTACTACATAACGTCACTGTGTATTGAATTGCTTTCTCTGTCAATTTTTTTGTAAAACATGATATTTTGGGTTGTTGTAGGTTTTTCAGGAGGCCCAGTGACACAGTGGGTTAAAGCACTGACTGCTGAGCTTGTTGACCAAAAGGTTGCAGGTTTGAATGTGGGGAGCTGCGTGAGCTTCCACTGTCAGCCCCAGCTTCTGTCAACCTAGTAGTTCGAAAACATGCAAATGTGAGTGGATCACTAGGTACCGCTCCAGCGGGAAGGTAACCGCGCTCCATGCATTCATGCTGGTCACATGACCTTAGAGGTGTCTATGAACAACACTGGCTATTCGGCTTAGAAATGGATATGAGCACCAACCCTTAGTCCAACATGACTGGACTTAATGTCAGGGGAAAACCTTTACATGCAAATGTGAGTAGATCAATAGGTACCACTCCGGCAGGAAGATAACGGTGCTCCATGCAGGCTATATGGCCATGTTTGGTTGGAAATCTTCATAATTTTGTGCAAAAATGAAAATTTAATGGAAAAAGGCCAGAAATGTGAAAATCATCATTTAAAAGGTACAACACCAGGAATAAATGTTTAAAATGTGTTCTTCTTGTTTGTAAGAATAAAGTAAGATTTACATTCCTTACTTGGCCTGTGGTGGCGCAGTGGGTTAAAGCGCTGAGCTGCTGAGCTTGTTGACCAAAAGGTCGCAGGTTCGATTCCAGGAAGCGGCGTGAGCTTCAGCTGTCAGCCCTAGCTTCTGCCAACCTAGCAGTTTGAAAACATGCAAATGTGAGTAGATCAATAGGTACCGCTCTGGCAGGAAGATAATGGTGCTCCATGCAGTCATCTTGGCCACATGACCTTGGAGGTGTCTATGGACAATGCCAACTCTTCGGCTTAGACATGGAGATGAGCACCACACCCCAGAGTCGGACACGACTGGACTTAATGTCAGGAGAAAACCTTTACCTTTAGATTTTTCAGGCTACATGGCCATATTCTAGAAACATTCTCTCCTGACGTTTCGCCTGCATCTATGGCAAGCATCCTCAGAGTTTGTATGGTCCTCACAACCTCTGAGGATGCTTGCCATAGATGCAGGCAAAACGTCAGGAGAGAATGCTTCTAGAACATGGCCATATCGCCTGAAAAACCTACAACAACCCAGTGATTCCAGCCATGAAAGCCTTCGACAATACATTATATTTTGGGTGCTTAATATGTAAAATCATAACGTAATTTGACATTTAATAGGCTTTCCCTTAATCCCTCCCATTTATACAACATTTTCCCTTTCCCAACTTTCTGCTGGCCCGTTTATGTTGGATAAGTGAGACTCTACTGTAATAACTTTTCTAAACCATGCAAACATGTTATGTAAAAAAGGAAATGGAACATGACTGCAAACAGCTTCAATTACAGTTCCGCAGAGCTACAGATATAATAGCATGGCTTGCTAACATTTAGTCCATTTCAAATTGAAATTGTAAGCTCATCAATGATATATTGGAACCAGGGCCAAAGTGCTGGAGATGTTTTGGTAGGAAGATGTTACTCTTCATTGCTATCCTTTAAGACAATCTGGAATCATGATCATCACATTTCCAGGTGTAGGAAAGATTTGCCTATATGTTTTCGTGATTTGTCACTGTTATGATGTAAAGTATTTTATGGAAACTTGGTCTTGGAAGAGCCATCAAGATCCATTAGATTCACAACAGACTTGCTTCTGGAAGAGATGAACACTGCTAGAACTGGTTGTTCACATGGAGTAGAACATGGTATGGCCAAAGTATAGTTATCTTTGCTTCAAATGAGAGATCGGTTTTGATTTATTCTAGAACATATTTGTTTTTGCAAGTCCATTGTATCCATTTAACTCTTCTACGGCACCATATTTCAAATGAATGAATGCTGCTTCGGTCAACTTCGTCACTGTCAATACATAGATATCAGAAATATTAATTATTTATTTAATGTCCTGTCTTTCTCCTGGATGGGTTCCGCAGAATATTTATTTCCTACTAATGCCATATATGACCATGCATTCCCTTGGATGTAGGACGTACAACACAGCTTGATTCTCGCTACTCCTCTTTTACTTTAGTGGTTAGGAAAGAAATAGCATTGTTTTAGGCCAGTGATGGGCAACCTTTTGAGCTTGGTGTGTCAAAATTTGCCAAAAACCTGAGCATATCTTGGGTGGGGTGTCAACTTCGAGAAAAAAACTCATAATTTTGCAATATTTATAGTTCAAATAAGAAAAATGTATATTCCATGCTGAGTTATGGAGTGAACAACGCTCAAACGTGCAGATGTTTAATTTGTAGAGCCTTTTACAAATTTAAGGATGGAATTAGATTGGCTCTTATAAGGTGTACTTCTCCATATGTGGCCGTGTGTCATCAAAAATAGCCATGCGTGTCCGTGCTGACACGCATGTCATAGGTTCACCATCACGGTTTTAGGCTTTGCCTTTCATCACTCCCCTTCATAAAACATGTATGGTCAGCATCACTACTATTTTGAAGGTTCTCAAAGGGTTTGCCTTCTGTATAAACAGTGGTAAGTATTAGGCTTGGGCAATCCATGGTTCTAAATGGTTCTAAAGTACTTACAAAACTAAAATTCTGGTGGTGAAAATTTCAGAACTCTAACAAAACTCTCAAAATTTCATAATAAATGGCAGTTCCTAATTGGTTCTGTCATTAAAATCACCAATAATGAAATAATAATTAAATTTTGAAAGTTTTGTTAGAGTTCTGAAATTTTCACCACCAGAACTTTAGTTTTGTAAGTACTTTAGAACCATTTAGAACCATGGATTGCCCAAGCCTAGTAAGTATCAGCTGCTTGGCTGGCCCAGTTCCAGTTTTGGATATATGAAAGCAGATGCTGATAAAATTAATGTGAGTCATACAGCTAGCATCATTTAGCCCAATGGTTGGATTCCTATGAGCCTGACTTGGCTTCTGTGGGGATATACCAGGTGTGCCATGTCTAATTTAGCCCTTCAAGCAGCCATGATACACAATTGTCCCTGGTTCTTTCAAATAGCCGTCACAGTTATCAAAAGTGGCACAGCATCTCAGTGTAATGGGCCTGAACAGATTTCCATAACACCATGAAGCAGACCCATTTGACACATACAACAAGGAAGAGTACTTATAAAAACAATGTTTTTGTCATGAAAGGGTGTGTCTCAAGACAGGTCAAGTCAATTTCATTACATTGCCATTAAAGATACAGGTAGCTGCTGTAGTCATTTACCACTTCTCAGTCTGAAATCAATGGAATGCTATGTCTAAATTTTGAAAATTTCTGATAACTCTACCAATACCAACCCTGTCTATTTTTATACCATGTACCTTGATGTGACGTTATCAGAAACTCAGAAGCTTGTCTCTGATGTTCTTTTTTTTTTTGTTCAGTACATCATGTAGGAAACTTTCGTATCCAGGCATTCCCATCCCCATGACCCATCATGGGTCCCCTGTAAGTCTTGCAATTGGGGAATTGAGTGGGTAGAGTAAATAATATAAATAGCTTAGTGGAGGGTTTTGAGTCTATTTATGAGTCTACTAGCCATCCCCTGCCATGCGTTGCTGTGGCCCAGTCTGGTGATCTCAAAACTAAAGTAATGAGGAAGTGTTGGTTTCTAATATATGAAATGTCTTTATGCTTGTGGATAAACAGTATTTCTTGCTATTTCTTTGTCAGTCTTGATATAGAGATTGTCTGGTTGGCCTACTCTGGAACAAGCAACATATCATTGTCCTTCTTTAGGGGTCCCTTTCAAATCTATGATACTATATCTCTCTGTGTGTGAATCATATATATCTATCTATATCTGTGGCTTGATGGCTCTTTGTCAGGAGGGCTTTGATTATATTTTCTTGCCCTAGTGAAGGGAGTTGGACTGGATGGCCTTACATATTTTTTGTTAGTCATGTGGGTTCTGTGTGGGAAGTTTGGCCCAATTCTGTCGTTGGTGGGGTTCAGAATGCTCTTTGATTGTAGGTGAACTATAAATCTCAGTAACTTCAACTCCCAAATGTCAAGGTCTATTTTCCCCATACTCCATCTGTGTTCACATTTTGGCATATGAAATATTCATGCCAGGTTTGGTCCAGATCCATCACTGTTTGAGTCCACAGCGATCTCTAGATGTAGGTGAACTGCATCTCCCAAACTCAAGGTCAATGCCCACCAAACCCTTCTAGTGTTTTCTATTGGTCACGGGAGTCTTGTGTGCCATGTTTGGTTCAATTCCATTGTTGGTGGAGTTCAGAATGCTCTTTGATTTTAGGTTAACTATAAATCCCAGCAACTACAACTCCCAAATGACAAAATAATTTTTTTTCATTGATGGTCACTCCTTGGCATGGTAGGTGTCTTGTGTCCAAATTTGGTGGCAATTCATCCAGTGGTTTTTGAGTTATTGTTGTGACTCAGCTGGAATCAGAGAGTGTTTCTGATGAGGATGATGGGACTCAGGTTCACAGTTTGGTTCAAAATGCCCCTGTTATAGACAGTGAAGAAATGCTTGTTATAGACATTGAAGAAATGCAGTTTCCCACAATAAGGCATGAGAGTGTTGATATTGAAAATAGCCAGGTGCAGTTTGACTCAGAGAAGGAGGACAGCTCTCAGCCTGGCTCTCAGCCTGATAATGAGCAAGTAGGGAAACAGGCTAACACTAACGAACAGACTGACTTTGA